AGGAATTTTCAGCCAAAAATTAGGTGTCCAGTAGCATGCACCTGCAGGAAAAATCAGATAAGCGCTGAGAAACTAAAACTTGATTAATATTGTCAGCTCCTTTCATTGTGTACAGAGAGCTTTGTCGTATTTTAAGGAAATGTTCCCCAGCTTATATGAATCTTCTGAATGGAGCAGATTAGATTTGCCTCTTCCACATTCTTCTGTGATAAAGTAGCCTTCAGTATGAATTTTTCTTTTTCTCTACTCAAAGAAAATCTCCCATAATCAGGACCCTGTATTATCAGAGTTACTGGCATCACTTTTCAGTCTATAATGCATTGCAAGAATTCTGTGTGCTGGCAATTTACCCTCTGCATCTGCACAGTAAGAAAGGTAACTTTAGGAGAGAAATTAAGTTAGAACTCTGGCTGTTTCAGAAGGTAGAATCTACGTAGTCAAATAGTCGATGCCTCTTGTGTTTTTGTTGGATTTTGGTTGAGTAACAGAGTATATATTTCTAATTTAGGGGTGGTTGGTAAGGCTAAGTCAAAACCTTGTCCCATTCATCTCCTGAATATAAGATGTTTTGTTTTTGCAGATCAGCATACATCATTCTGATTGTTTATAAGTCAAATTTCTTCTATATTTGGATTCCGCCTCACTCCTTAGTGTCCATAGAATCACGTGGAAGATTTGTCAAGGGACATATTGTTGAGCCCCATACCCAGAATTTCAGTTTAGCATGTCTAAGGCGGGGTCCAACTGTTTACATTTGTTAACAATTTCCCTTGTGATACTGGTGTTGCTGGTTCAGAGACCACACTTTGAGAACCACTGCTCTAGTTACTGAAATTTTTTTCTTAGACATTCGTAGATGTTTAAATGTCATGTTTTTATTAAAGAGTATGGATTTGGCTTTCCTTCAGATGTATCTTTAGGAATATTTTAATAACTATTTAGATGATCTATATGGGAATGATAAATGCCAGGAACATCAACCAGAAATGAGCACAGAAATGGCACCAGCCTGAAATACTACATTTATTTCTCTATAAAGCGATAAAGAAAGCATAAAGCTTCATGTAGGAGTAATTACCTAGTTGGGGATGAATCAGTGCTGGCTTCCATTATTGAAACACTTTTATAAATCATTAAACATATGTGTCTTTTGGAAGTTACAATTAAGTTACTATCACTTAGAATAGCTTTAGACTAATTAATACTTAATTTAAAATATCATTTGACTTCTAAAATTACCTCTGCATATAGTTTATTTATTTATTTATTTTTACAAGTCTGTAGTTTGTAAAACCTAGACTTACTGAGTAATTGATCAAGGAACTTTAATTTGCCATTTTCTGCTACTTTTTGGGTAAGATTCCAAATATGATGGTGCTTACATTGGGATTATTTCAACAATAAAGTCAATGCCATCTTTGAGCAATCATTCTGAACTTTTTAAGGAGATTTTTGAACTCTCATATAATCTATCATCTAGTGTTTGCCAGTCATCAATAAATCCAATTGATCGTAGTACATAAATTTTATGATGTTCTGACTTCTGGTTGACTTTCATAAAGTTAGCTTGATTTTATATGAAATAATTTTGATGTTCAAAGCATATTTACACTAGCTAAAATGCATTTAAGTTCGTTCCAGTTGAAAACTTTTTGGGGAAGCATTCTTTCCCCCAGCCTATGTTAGACTATGTCTCCCTACTGAGAACAACATGCACGGTACAGAGGGTTTAATTTTTCTTACTTTACTATCTTAGGTCAATCTTCTATTTGAGCTCCTTGAACTCGAACATTCAGTAGAAGCATAGATAACTTCAATGAAAAATGTCTTAGAAGTTGACCCCCTGAGATAGCCTTTCTCTTTCAATTTGGAAATCTTGGTTGGAGTATGCATGATGAAGATAGGCCAAGTAAACGTGATCGCCTGAATATTTTAGGCACCTCATTCACCCTGCTCTAGCTCTAAATGGATGTTATATTCATTACCTACTGCTGCCTAGCAAGTCACTTCAAATTCAGTGGCTTCAAACAAAAATAAACATTTATTATCTCAGTTTCTCAGAGGCATGAGACACAAATGCAAAAATATGAATACCCAAATTCAAACTAGGTGGTTTTGGCTCTGAGTATCTCCTGTGGTTTCAGTCAAGATGTTGGCACTGACTGCAGTCATGTGAAAGCTTAACTTGGGTTTGTGGAACTGCTTCCCACATAGATTCTTTATTGCCTGGCAAGGTAAGGTAAGTTCTCTGCAGGAAACTCAGACTCTCTCAGCATTTCAATGTCTCCTTATGGGGCTGGCTTTCTCCAGAGTGAGTCACCTAACAGAAAACAGTGGAAACCACCACGACTTCAAAGACTTACCCTTGGAAGCCATACTTTGTGATTTCTGAATTAACCTGTTTTTTCACCTCTCCATTCTATTCAATGTGAGGGAGACTAAACAAGAGAATGGATACCATCTCAAAGAATAGCTACCACATATTGCAAACAAAACCGTAGGGAATTCTCTTATTTATCATAATTTTGTGATCAAAGGCCAGGATATGACCAATTACTATTTTTCCATCAATTTTGCTTACTTTTTGAGAATGAAGATGGGTTTTCTATGCTTTTCTATGCTTTTTCTCTCCCCAGAAGAACTCATCCTATGTGTGTGATTTACTCCTGAAGTTTGCTTACTGCATGTCCTTTATTTACTCCAGACTCCTTTTTTGTTAGTCACTATTTTCTTAGGCTAATGTATTAGTGTTCATATATTAGTAAATTCTAACACACACAAGAACACTCTGGAGGATATCGTTTGTATTTGAATATTTCAAATTTTATAAAAGAATAAGTAAGACATTCAGGTCATCAATAGATATTCAACTACTCATAAACCTTGTCACAATTATGTTTAAATTTCAGCTCAGCTGGTAGGTTTACATCAGCTACTCTGCAATCCCATGTTTTCATTCATACAGCATTCCTTTCCCTTGAAGCTAATAATTATATTGTTTCTCCTAAGTAAAGGTTGTCTATAATTATAGCCTCAGCTATTTTCTGTAGACTATCTTTACTCACTCATCCAGACTTGTCTCCTGAGCTTCCATCCCAATTTTCAACTGCCATTGTGAACTGAAAATAGACTGCCGTTTGGACTCGGATAGACGCATTACAGATTTAGATAACAACCTTGTAACTGAGTTAGCATTTTGTATTTGGCACATTACCTAATAACTCTGAGCCTCAGTTTTCCTTTTGTATAATGAAAATAATATTACGTCCTTAGCCAATCTATAGTGAGGATTATCAATTATAATGCATGACAGTGTTGCCAACTAGAGGTGATTCTGTCACCCGGCGGACATTTAGCACTGACTAGAAATATTTTTGTTGTTGCTATTGCAACTGAAGAAGAGAGATTAGGTATCTACGGTGAGGAGGCTAATGTGCTATTCAACATATTACAAGGCATAAGGCAGACTTCCAAATTAGGATAATTTTACACGTTAACTTGCTTAGGCCACATGCTTCCTAGTTATTTGGTCCAACATTTTGGGGGGGTGTTTCTTTGCAGGTGTTTTTGGATAAGATTATCATTTAAATAAGTAGACAGAGTCAAGAAGATTGGTTACCGTAATGTGGGTGGACCTCATTATATCAGTTGAAGGCATAAATTGAATAAATAGACTGACATTCCCTGAGTAAGATATAATTTTTCCTGCATGACTGCCTTTAACTGAGACATTGGCTTCTTCCTGCCTTCAAACTTCAGCTGAACTGTTACTTTTTGTAGATACTTACTCTGCCGAGTCACCCTCCAGATTTTGGGACTTATCAGCTTCTCTAACTGTATAAATCAATTGTTTATAATTTTACAAACAAACTAACACATACCTGATTGATTCTGTTTCTCTGGAGAATCCTAATACTCACAAGAAACAATTATCTGTCCCCAAATGTCAAAAGTGCCCAGAGTGAGAAACCTTGATATACGTAAGCCTCTAGTACACTACGTTATATGTGAAAGGTGATCAAAGCATATTCAGTGAAGGAGAGTATCTGTAGACATTTAGACTGAAAAATCAAGCAACTGTACAATTAAAAACTATTATTTAATATAAATGTAAATGTCAAGTACAACGCCCCTATATTAATTAGGTGAATATGGTAAACTCACTATTCAAACAAAGGGTAAGGCGTGGTGGCTTATGTCTGTAATCCTAGCACTCTGGGAGGTTGAGGTGGGTAGATTGTCCTGAGCTTACTGGTTTGAGACCAGCCAGAGCAAGAGCGAGACCCCCTCTCTAATAATAGCTGTGCATTGTGGCGGGTGCCTATAGTCACAGTTACCCGAGAAGCTGAGGCAAGAGAATCACTTGAGCCCAAGAGTTTGAGGTTGCTGTGAGCTGTGACACCACAGCACTATACCAGGGGTGACAAAGACTGTATATATATATATATAGACTGTATAAATATATATACATACTTATAATAATTTACATTTGTCATCAAAGTGATATGTAGTTCTTTTATAATATTCATTACAAATTTTTGGTTTTCCAATACTTTGGTAGTTCAAATCTTCAGTAGTTCTCTGGGTTTTTTATTTAGTGCCTGGTTAGGTGGTCTATTTATTGTTCATTAATATGTTACTTTATTTATGTCTATGTTAGGTGATTATAATAAAGCATTTCTTAACATTTTCTCTCTCTGTTGTCTTTCCTCTGTTTGATTTTGGTGATAACAGTATTTCCAGATATATCTAGAACAAACTTCCCCATTCAAATTTAATCTAGATGTTTGGATAATGAGTATTCTGTATCTGCAGAAGAAAACATATTCTCATAAAAGTTGCCACGTACATTCTATTCATATTTTTTTTTTTTTTACCAAAGATGACATTGTGTTTTATAATTTTTTAACTACTTACACTCAATTGTTGGGGGATTATTTTTTTTTTGATATTGAGTCTGATATATGTGTGTATGTGTATATGTATATATTTTTTCCTCCAAATTACTGAGGCAGGAAAACAAGGCTGCCCACTCATGGCAGTCCTGACAATGGTCTTTAGGGGCTTTTGTTGGCCTCCATCCTTGCCTGAGGAAAACCTGGACCCTCCACAACCCCAAGAGAGAGAGGCCCTGAGTCCTTTATTTTTGAACCAAGAGTAATTATCCAGATAGTGAGAGTGACATTCTTTCAGAGATTTTCTTTTAACGTTCATCAGACAATGGATATAATGAGATCTGAAGGGAGCTGTATTATGTTCCTGAGAAAAAGAGGAGCAAAGAAAGGGAGGAAAAATGAAAAGAGAGAGGCAGAAATAAATTGAGAAAGTAAATATTCTCTCCTCAAAACAGTATTTCAACAAATTTCTTAAAGCTCTTTTCTTCTACTTTATTATAGAAGCACAGATATTTTATGTTTTGGAATTTATTTTAGATTTCATGGGAATTAAATGGGAAAATAAGAATATTTATTATAGTTTTATATATGTTTAAAAACATACATACTTTAGTATACATGAACAATATAAAGATAATTCAATAATCCATAATGTTATGCATTTACAGTGGGATAAGGATGAAAATATGCATTTGTTTATATAGCGTAGTCCACTTTGAGGACTCACCCCTTAAAGTTGATATGAAATATTATTTTATTAGTAAAGGAAAATATGTAGAACCCTATGTTTTAGGTCCTGGTGACCACGGATCCCGTAATTCCTTACCTGTTCCAAAGCAGATAGATTTATGTTCATCAGGCAGTATTTGGCAAACCAATCTCTTCATATAAACTCCGTCTTCTGGATCATAATGCCCTCTGTTTTTACAAATACTTACAAAGTCATTCTTTTCAGAACTTTGCCATCTCAAGCACAATGTATTTCTGCAAGTTTACTTTTTTTTTTTCCCCACTGAATCTCTAACCCCTCTCCTTAGTCCCAGAAATCCAACATTTTCCCTATCTATACAGTACTTTTGCCAGTTCCCCAATCACATCACCTTATCATCATGGAGTCTGATTTAAGATTACTTAAAATTGGCTCGGTGCCTGTGGCCCAAGCAGCTAAGGTGCCAGCCACACAGCTGAGCTGGCAGATTTGAATCCAGCCCAGGCCCGCCAAACAATAATGATTGCTGTAACCCAAAAATGGCCAGGTGTTGTGGCAGGAGCTATAGTCCTAGCTACTTGGGAGGCAGAGGCAGGAGAATTGCTTGAGCCCAGGAGTTGGAGGTTGCTGTGAGTTGTGATGCCACACCACTCTACCCAGGGTGACAGCTTGAGGCTCTGTCTCAAAAAATATATATATTCATTAATTTTTTTTAAAAAGATTACATAAAATTAGGATTTCAAATATAAAGAATTATTTTGATCTACCGATGCTTACCTTCAAGTAGGTATGCATATACACGTATGTATTTCCGGAATCATCAATGTCAAGGATGATGCTGTAGTTACTCCTTATCCCCCTGACCAGAGGACCTCGCTCAATAAATAGTAAGTTTCTACCACGTGCCAGGAACGAGACAGGGAAAATATAATGGCAATCCAATGAGAATGACTCATGCCCTCACTGGACATGTAAAACAGAAATTAAGCCCCATTAATACCATTTATTTTTCTCATTTTGTTTTCTGCTTTTGGTGTTGTTGACAGAATGCATGTTTGTTGACTACTGATAATTATGCATATACTGTCTATCATTTACTATGAAAGAGAATTTATTTTCATAACCAAGTTAACAAATATTAAGGAAACCTTAACTATTGCTTAATTTTACTTTCACTGTCATGAAAGAATGAATTGGTGGTATATTTTCTGTAAATGCATATGTGAATGGCAGCTCTGCTGGACAGAAAATTATTGAATGACAATCTTTTCTGTTGGAAACTCCCTGGAGATTATCCTATTGTCCTCAGCTAGATTTTATTTTTCTGTTGGTAACTGATTTTCTTTGCCTGAATGCTTAAAGAGATTTTTTCATTTCATTTAACCTTCATATAATCTTCAGTATGGATTGTTCATCAGTTCCTAATTTTGTCTGATTTACAGTGAATCCCCTTCGCGAAAGACCCACTTTAAGTTTCATGTTATTGTACTTTTAAAAACATTATTTATTTCTTTTTTTCCAAAAATACTTAATAATAATCTATCTATGAACAAGTCACTGTGCTTCCACTAAGGATGTGTTTTAACATAAATAAATGACACTTATACTTTGGAAATTTAGACTAAGCTGTACATCCTTTATTAATGTTGAAATTGGTATTAGGTAAATACTGAATATAGGTGACTGTTGCAGTACCCAGCAATGTTTTCTTTCTTTCTTTCTTTCTTCATTTTTCTAACACAGTTTCCTCAGTGGGAGATGACACTCAAGATATAATATGTAGTATAATGAAAAAATTAAATGTCATCTGAAAGTATATGACTCACACCTTAACTAGACATACACGAGGGCCTGAGACTGTGGAGGTTCTTTTAAAGTGGTGACAGTATGGGGCTGGCTCCCTACTCCTTTGAGCCACAGGCACTGCCCAAAACTTCTGTGTTTTATGTGTATCATACTCATTATTACCTTTTATATTTTAAATATTTTAATTATATTATATATTAAATATTTAAATTATTTAATTATAGGTGACAGTATGGGGCTGGT